ACTTGCCACCCTCCCCAGGAATTGCAGGACCTTCTACACAGTGTCACTTGACATCTCTATTCCTCTCATTAGGCACCACAGTCCCCTGGGTATATATGCAGGTGCTGCTTCCTTGTCTACCTGCTTTCTGAGATACTTTCCTTAGCTCACTGGCACTGCCATAAGTAGAATCACCATTGGTTTCAAAACTTCCTATACCAAAGTACAATGTTTGTTGGAAGTAAAAAAACACTCTGTCCTGCTTGAATAACTCTCTTTAAGGAGAACATCAAAAATAGGTCACCTCTGTGGCAAAGTATAACAATATACTTGGATTCCTCTGTCTTCATAAATTACCTACACAGATCCAGGAGTGCAACACACAGTCAGTCTGAGTGGAAGACACCAACCCATATACCACACTGTTCCTCTGTACTGGTTTTGAGATTACTGCCAGCTCAAAGTAGATCTTCCATTGGGGGTTCTTTTTCTGGAAGTTCCTTTACCTTCTGTGCACATGGCCAGTTTCCCAATTTATCTGGCTCTTCCTAAAATACTAAACCAGCAGCAAGCTGAGCTCAGTCTCAAATGCAGTGTCCCACTATAAATCTGTTGTAGCATGTAAATCTCACAAAATCCAGTGAAACATACAGCATTTTGTCTATTTTAAAGATATGGACATTGAGTGGCTAAGTAATTTGCCTTTAAACAGCTACTCTGTTAATATCACACAATAAAATATCTAATTGTTGGTAGATCAAGACTTGAGCTAACTTAAGTCCTATAACCACATACCTCACCTCCTAGATCTGAGCCTCACTTCCTGAGCTCAGCACAAATCCTAATCCCAGCCACCTGCTTCAGTCACCTAGCACAGCACTGGAACATCTAGGCTATTGTTCCTAGTGACAATAAAAACTATATTTTGTCCTCATTGCTCACAATTCGCATGAGCTCAGTGATTACGGCACACGAAGAGCTTTGGGGACCTCATAATGGTATGTGGGAAAGTAGCATCTTCCCTTTCTGGTGCTAACCAGAAGAGTCTTTCCTAAGTTCAACTGGTCTAATACACGTTCTTTAAGACTGGCTCCTGCTCTGATGAAAAACTTCTTTTCAAAGAAGCCAAATGTTCTCAGGGGCTAAGCTGACTCAAGCCACTCCAGTGATCTGCGCCAATGATGTGACAGCCCTGGTCGTTAATGTTGTGTTTAGCTGTTCTCCCATCACACCTGGATTATGTAAGCTATGCTTGGTGACCTCTGCTACTTGGAAGGACTGATGTGATTTATTCAGTCAGCATTTGAGCTCAGTGCAGAAAGTGAAATTGTCTCCATTTTGCTTCTACTGAAGTCTCCAGCATGATTGAATTAGCATAGACAAGAGAAATGAAACTCACCTGTAGGTTATCATTACATTCTTTCCTGCCAGTATGTGATTGTTCTCCTCAATGCTGTCCAGCATATCAGTGATTCTAATTAGACACATATCAAGGGCAAATCTTCATTTACAATTTCCCCCAGGGGAGTTCAGTTGGGGTTTTTAGACTTTGGGGTTGTCCCTCCCAGCATTCAGAATGGATCTAGCCTTGCCTTCCTCTCTCTGTTCATAGAGTTTTATCTTCAGTTCATTTGGGGAAGAGTTTTGATTTTTAAAGAGTGATGAAGAAAGGCATGTTTTACCCCCAAAGGCTGAGTTTTATTTTTAGATATATTTTATCATAAATTATTTTAGCAAGTCATTTCAAAGTGAGCTGTTAATAAACAATCCCTATTCATTTCTGTGTTCAGACTTCTTAATTAGTGACCAGAGGGGCAACTGGCATTTCCTTTGAGTTTCTACTAACTATAAGAGAACCTTGGAATTTTAAATCTAGGAAATGTAAAGAGCAACTAATTAGGGGAAGCTGCATGCAAATATTGACAAGCAAGGAGCTGGGTCTGGTGGCACATGTCTGTAATTCCAGCAACTGGGGGGGGGGGGGCTGAGGCAAGAGGAGCATTGGTTAAAAGACAAATTCAGCCTCATCCTGGCAACATAAGACCCTGTCTCAAAAAATAAAGCAAACAACCACATCTTGGAAACTAAGTTAAAGTAACTGTATTTGACTTATGTTCTATGCACGAATGAGTACAGAAATGAATGAGTGGATGGATGGATGGATGGATGGATGAACTGGGCCTGCACTGGTAACCTTCTCTAGAAAACCTTCAGATACCCAGAGGTATGCCTTAACAATATGCTATATCCTTCTCAATCCAATCAATTTGAAAATAAAGATTAGCCATCACACCAAAGCATATTGAAGACCCAGTCAGCTCATGGCAAGGCTATATTCAGAAACACCAGTCTTTCTGATGTGCCATTCTCCAGCCCTGTTTATCTGCTAACATCTAGCTACGCTTCTGACTTCATTTTTCCTACCAACAATCCTTATTATTGTTGTCGTTTACATAATGTTAGTCACTCTGACAAACATATCCTGAAAACTCCGCGCTTAGCAAATTTTCACCCAATAAACATCCAATTCCTGCTGAAGCATCAATCTAATACATGTATTCCTGGCTCAGTTGCTGTCTTGAAAGGGCTTACCTAGGTACCGGGCTCCTTCCTTGGACAATTCTGTCATTGTCAGCAAGGGGCTACCAGTGTCTAGGAACTAGAACAGGATTGCTTATGACATCGTCACTGACCCAAACCACTCATACCTATATTCCATTTCCCAAGTATAATTTTTTATTTTCTTCTATATCCTGGATACCACAGTCCCCTTCATTTATACTGCACAGCCATTTTATAGAGCTCACGTTAATAAGCTTCCTTCAGTGTGGAGAAGGGGAATATTTATAAGCTACAAATCTTTCTGCTGTATGACTGTCTGATGGCTCTTAGAAGCCCTGCATACCCTATGGCCAAAGGTTGCCGTGGACTTTCTCTTACTTGCTACGTTTTTTAATGGTGTACATTGCTGAATGGAATAGTGGAGCACTCCTTTTGCATGTGAAAGGTTCAGAACACATTCCTAAAAACTACAACCACTTGGCATTTGAGAAAACAGCATGAACATGATAGGAAACAGAGTGATTTCTCCCCTGTCTGTTCTCCCTCAAAGCAAGAACTCATAAAACCTAAAAAGGATTCTCTGACTTTCCCTTGAAATAGCTCAAAGTCTCCCATGTGAGATGTGCTGCCATGGACCCATAAGAAACTCGTGTCCTTATCTCTGAAGACACAGGGATATGGAGTGTAAGTAGCCCTTTATAAGTCTCTGTCTTACAATTAGATCATGCCCGTACAACCTTCACACCTCTGCACACTGTCCGCTTCTTCATCAGTATAAAAGTACAGTGTCTCTGGTTGCTTGGTCTCATTTCCACATGGAGCCTCTTATACCTAAATATGTATTTACATGCCTGTTATAGATGATGATATTTTTAAATTATATTGACTAGGATGACTAAGGATACAGCTATATATTTATAGTAAGATCCTCAAGAAAGCACACAAAGATAATAGCACCAGTAGGAAATGATATTAGTTAACATTGGTGAGCTCTCAGGGAAGCATTTGTTTCCTTAATCTATTTTGTTATAGAGAACTCCTGCTGAAGAGATCAGTTTTAGTCTCAAGATGGGGTATTTCTCTTCACCTAAATACAAAAACCATGTAAATATTGAGGAAAAGCCTTTATCCCTACAATTTTAGTCAACCAATTTGTGACTTTTCTCTTGAGAAAGCATCCTGGAAATAAATGATCTTCCTCTTGAAGAGCTGATAATGTTCCCACACTTATTGTGATGTGTCATGCTCGAGTCTGGGCCAGCTTTTGCCATTGTATAACTAGAAAGCATAAACAAAAAATCAATGGTACTAATGACACTGTGTGTGTGTGTGTCTGTGTGTGTGTGTGTATTTGTATATCGTTGTTTGTATGTGTCTGTGTGTCTATGTGTATGTCTCTGTGTCTTTGTATCTATGTATGTGTCTATCTGTATATCTGTGTATATGCGTGTGTCTAAGTGTGTGTGTCTGTGTCTATAGGTGTGTGTTTATGTGTCTCTGTGTATCTATGTGTGTGTATCTACTTAAGTGTGTCTGTGTGTGTATCTACTTGTGTGTGTCTGTGTGTCTATGTGTATGTCTATATGTCTGTGTGTATCTATGTATATGTATATGTATATGTATATGTATATGTATATGTATATGT